GGAGGAGGAGGAGGAGGAGGAGGAGGAGGAGGAGGAAGAGGAGGAGGAGGAATGTGAGGTCCGCGATGCCCTCTGAGCTTGCAGGCATCTCATGACCCATCTAGGTAACGTTGTCAGTGCTAAAAGGGAGCGGGGTTTACAGAGAGGAGAAAGAAGAACAGAGTGAAGAAGATGAGGAGGAAAAGAGGAGGAGGAAGGCTGGGCTCCTCAGCACGCTCTGAGCTGGGGGGGGGACTGTTTCTTGCAGACATTTCACGGCCCAACTATGTAACGTCTTCAGTGCTAGAAAGGAATGGAGTTTGGAAGGGAGGAGGAGGAGGAAGAAGAGGAGGAGGAAGAAGAGGAAGAGGCCTGTGGGGTCCTTGATGCTCTCGGAGCTGAGTTTTCTTGCAGACTTCTCACCACCCAACTAGGGAACGTCATCAGTGCTGCTTCTCCCGACCAGCAGGACGTACCAAGACTTGTGGCCGAGACTTCACTCCCGTTGGGTCGTCGGAGTGAACTAACCAGTTTCTATCCGGGAAAGGTCTCTGCCTTCTTCGGCCGCCCCTCTGGATTCCAGGCTCTTGGGACCTCGGGGCTCGGCCGGACCAGGACGATGGGCTTTGGGTGCCCTTGAACAGGAGAAGTAGTCGGGCAGGGTGGGAAGAACCAGGCTGGCAGCCAAGAGGACAACTCCGGCGCAGATGAAGGACGCGGTGAAGGTCCCTGTGATGTCCCTCAGCCAACCTGGAATGCAAAATATCGGGGTACGCTCTCAGGGCGTTGCGTAGCCGGCCTTTTCTCAGGGACACCCCACCCCCCTTTCAAATCCAACCACTGATCAAAGGTGGCCTCTCTACAACCCAGGTTACTCTATGGTTGAATTTGTCTTGGCTTCCTGGACTTACGACCACAAGGAAAGCCAACATTTGTTGCAACTAAGCGAGACGTCGGTGAAGGGAACGTCGTCGCCTTTTGGCCACTTTCCTTGGCCCGCCGTTGTGAAGCGAGTCACACGGTTGTTAAGCGAACCGGGCTTCCCTGTGGAGCTGGCTTCTCAAGACGGTCGCGAAACGTGACACACACACACAAACCCCGGACCACTACAAAACCTGTCATAAATAGGAGTCTGTTTGCCAAGTGTCTACATTTTCATGTTGCATGCGAGGACGGGTCGTAAGTCCCTTCTTTCGGGACTGTCGCTACCTTTAATGGTCCCTGATTGAGCCGTTGTAAGTTTGTATCGTGACTTGTGTGTGTGTGTGGGGCGGTTGTTGATCAAACGTCCCGCCATGGTTTGAACGCAAACGTTTCACGCAAAACTCTTCTCACAAGGAGGGGTACCCCCCGAGGTGCGTTCTTACTGATTCGGTCAAATAGGTAGTAAAACTCTGGTGTAGCTTTCCGAACCGGTACTAATGACAGGCTGGCCGCGCCCCTGAACTGCTTCCCTGGTCTCCACTCACTCACACTGCCCTGCCCAGTCTCTGTGCATGTGTGAGTGATGTCAAGTAGGCCACGCCCACTCAGTCACACACACACCCCCGCCTAGCCACGGCCACAGAAATGGGAGTAAAATAATTTGAAGCCCAACCCTGGGTACCCCCCCCCATTTTTCTTTACCTGAAATAGGTGTGCCCACCAGGGCCCCCGTACTCTCCAGCATGTGCATGTACCCGATGCCCGCCATCACGTAGCGGGCGCCCACGATCTCCACCAGGCTGGTGAACTGCAACGGGACTAGAGCGCCGGCGAAGAAACCGTAGCAGAGGCCGAGGGGCATCAGGGTCGCCAAACTGTGTCCGAGGGGCACGAGGGCCAGGCAGATACCCGTCAAGGCTATCCAGAGGGTCAGGTCGTGGACCGAACGTGAGAAGACCCGGGCGTCCGCCAACCACCCGGCAAAGACGCGACCCACCATGTCTGACACGGCGGCGACCGACATGATGGAAGCGGCGTCGTACTCTCCGCAGCCCACGTCCCGCGCATAAGCCACCAGGTGTGCGTAGGGCACGAAGTAACCCATGTCCACCAGGACGAAAACCAAGACGTAGCGCAGGAAGGGTCCGTGATGGAGCAGCTCCAGGGCGAAGAAGGAGGAGGTGAGGGTCCTTTGCTCCTGGCGGACGCCCCCGTCCTTGTCGGCGTTGGGTTGAGCATCCTCTACAGCCAACGGGCGCAACAGCGCGCCGGACACCACCAGGTTCAGAGACATCGCTGCCACGATCTGAAGCGCCCCCCGCCATCCGTAGGAGTCCAGAAGATACTGGAAGAATGGGCAGAAGGCCAACGAGGAGACGCCGGCCCCCGAGACAGCCAGGCCCATGGCCAGCGTCCGCCGCTTATCGAAGTAGTGGGACACGGCGGCCACCGAAGGTGTGAAGACCAGGGCCCAACCTAGACCTACCTCCAGTGCGAGAGAGGGAAGAGGGGGGGAGGGAAAACTACAGTCAGACTCAGCAAGGTCCCCCATTTTGGTCACACCCACCCCACCCCTGTTGGGGACTTCCGAGGGGCTCTGGATCCCAGTCCCCAGGCGGCATGAGGTTGCAATGGAGAACAGGGGTGTCAAACTCACCCGCGGGCTGCATCCAGCCCACAGGGTGCTTAAATGTGGCCCGCGGGCCAGCTGGGAAATTTCGACCGACCAGCCCACGGTGCCTCTGCTGGTGAAAACGAGCTCCGTGCGGCCCCTCCCAAGTCCCCCGTGCCAGAGGTGGGTTCCTACCGGTTCGACCCAGTTCGGCCGAGTAGGTAGTAACTCAACAATGACACGTGCCCAAACCAATTCTATCCACAGCTCCGCCATCTTGATTTTTGTTTCTGTGCATGCGCAGAACAATCTTCATTGCAAAAAAATGTAATTCCCCCCATTTTCTAACATTGTGTGCATGTGCAGACTGTTTTAGGTGCAAATGGGCACATACGCGGAGCCGCCATGTGCGCAACATTTTTTGCACAGCGAACCGGCAGTAACGCCAGCAGCAAACCCATCCCTGCCCCGTGAGGCCCATTTCTGACCTCACAACACTACCGCAACTCTCGCGAGGCCTCCTTGCACCTTGTTTTTGAACGGCCGAGCGCTGTGGGAGGCTGGGGAGGGTGAAAACAGACCACACGGGGACCCCGTTTTGGCTGTTAAAGTAATTTCGGAGGCTGTTTAGGCCGAAAACGAGCCATAAGGAGCTGCATGTGGGCCCGCTTGTGCTCCATTTTGGCTGGCAGGGTGCTGCAGGAGGTATCCGCCTGTCTCTCCCCACTAATCCCCACGCCCAACCCCAATGGTCCTCGGAGAACTACAATGATCCAGTCCTCTAGGAAATCTAGTTTGACACCCCGATCTAGAAGATCTTTTTTTCCCCGCCCCCCTCCAACTTACTATCTTCCCTCCATCATTCCCCTCTACCCTACTTCCCCTCCGCCTCTACCACTCCTCT